ATAACTTACAACATATAACTACATTAAACATCAATTGAGAAATAATTTGATTTTTCTAATAATTTTAAATAAATATTATTATTTTTTATTATTATAAAGATAAATATAATTTATTTATTTCATATATTCAATATGGATGTCAAATCGAACATCATCAAAAAGTGATTAATTTGATATATTATATATTTAAAACCGATAACAAATACAAAAGTTATCAACTTTTAAAATACATTTACAATTCAGTAGCTAATTGAAGTAAACAAATAAAAAATCAGGGATATATTAGTCACTTAGTGATTGACTATGTAAAATTACAAGAAATTAAAGGATTATATTAGTACAAGTGATGTTAAAATACCTAAGTTAGCTAAATAATATTTATGGAATGTCCTAACCTAGATTATTAATTATTAATATATCATTATTATTTGTCCAAACCTAATTACGAAGCATGATTCTTTGCCAAGTAGGATTCCAAAGCACCAGAAATAGCCACGTAGGCTCAGCGCATTCAGAAATTATATATAAGGCAGATTTTTTGGAATCATATTATAGTTAACGCTAATTTCTGAATAAAAATTTTGAAATGATACTTATTTTGAAATGAATATAATGTAATTTATCATCAGTTATGTGCATCACACGGGTCGTGTACTAATTTTAGACAGATATTTTTATGTAATTTTGTACAATTTAAACTTTATATAACATTTCAATAAATTAGTATAGGTAATTGTATTACATATTGATTCTATATTTTTAATTTATAAATATTACTTACAAAGAATTTTTTATTTATAAATATTAGTGAATATTACTTACTCGTGCACTGAACGGGACTCATACTAGTATATTCAATATTATATTATTTACATTTAATATTCTATGTTACTTGTGGTTTAAAAGACGCAATGCATAAAATATCGAATTAGTATTGTGCATTACTGCCTACAATAATGTGCATTTCGTCTAACATTATTGTGTAGTCCATTGATTGAGTATTTTTTTTCTGTGCATTTAAATTTTAGAAACTTTAATAATTAGCTAGTATTTAATTAACATTATTTTGCAATTGTAAATTTATTTTTATCATGAAATATATTAGTATTTTATATTGTTGTTTGTTGAAAAGAAATAATATAATAGATAAAATATAAAAATAATATTTTATATAATTCGGTCAGTTCTTTTATTTCTTGTTTCCTTTCTTTTTTATTTTATATATAGATAAATATAAAAATAATATTTTATATAGTTCGGTCAGTTCTTTTATTTCTTTTTTCCTTCTTTTTTTTGTAAATAAATTCGAAACAAGACTGAAATAACCAAATTATTATTACATTGATATGATAACGTGCATTCTCACACGCATTAATGTGCATTCAGCTTAACACAATTGTGCAGTCTAATAGTATTAGTGCATCTTGTATAAGAATATTGTGCAACATCTTGCGTCTTTTTACGTCCAAGTTCAGACTAAAACCAAATGGAAATAAT